TGAGACAGGAGGATCATTGTGAGTTTGAGACCAGCCTGGGCTACAAAGTGAGCTCAAGGCCAGCCTGAACTGCATAGCGAGACTCTGTCTCAAAAAAAGCCAAAAAAAAAAAAAGACTCAAATAGCAACACTGATAAACAACATTGAACCAACTGGGTAGTTATTTTTCATGATCTATGAGATATGTATAGCAAAGTCTTTGTTTTTAGAGTTTAGACAACTAAATGATATAATTCAGTCCATTTTGAAAGTTAAAATTATTTCCCAGGTAAATGGTTTTATCATTATTAGTTACTCAGTAAATACCAACTTCTAAAACGTATCATGGAGCTGGGTGTGGTGGTGCACACCTGTAATCCCAGCCCTTGGGAGGCTGAAGCAGGAGGATTACCATGAGTTACAGGGCCAGCCTAGGCTACATAGTTCAAAGCCAACCAGAACTACTTAGTGAGATGCCATCTTGATGAAAAAACAACAACTGGAGAGCATTGTATTCACATTCAGATTTTTTCTCGGGAATGAAGAGCAGTTATCTACAATGGTAAGTTTCCCAACTGAACTCTTCTCATATTTAACCACTTAAAAATTCCATCAGGCTGACCATTGTGACACACAACAGTAATGCCAGCACTGGGAGGCTGAGACAGGAAGATTGCTGTGAGTTTGAGGCTAGCCTGGACTCCATAGGGAGTTTTAAGGCCTGTCTGGACTATAGCAAGACCCTGACTGAAAACAAAGTAACAGCCATCAAACTGCTTCTGCCTGGGCATGGTGGCACACACCTGTAATCCCAGCAATTGGGAGGCTGAAGCAGGATTGTGAGTTGAGAGACCAGCCTGGGCTACATAAGTGAGCTCAAGGCCAGCCTGCACTGCATAGTGAGACCCTGTCTCAAAGACAAAAAAAAAAAAAACCCCAAAAACCTACAGCTTTTGAAATGTCTAAATGCATGCACACCCAGATATTAAGTTAAATGGAGATGATAGATAAAACCTTGAACTGTTTGTTTTCCTCAATTTCAGCTGCACTGGTATTAGTCACTGAAAAAAAAAGTTGAGGAAAAGTCATGTGTTCAACTTGACAGAACAAAAAAATAGTTTATGCTTACAGTTCACTTGTTACCTAAACGTCCACCTCTCATAAATGGTGTATGCACTGTCTTAACTATTTGTCCAGAAATTTCAATATTTCTTTTTTTTTGGTCTTTTTTAGACAGGGTCTTGCTATGTAGGTCAGGCTGGTTTTGAGCTCACTTTGTAGCCCAGGTTGGTCTCAAACTTGGAACGACCCTCCAGCCTCAGCCTCCCGAGTACTGGGATTACAGGCGTGTGCCACCGTGCTCGGCCCCTTTTTTTTTTTTTTTTTTTTTGGTACCGGGAATCGAACTGACCTTGCACTTGCCAGGCAGGCGCTATGCCGTTGAGCTGTGTCCCCGTTCCTTCATTTTCGAGACAGGGTCTTGCTACGTAGTTCAGCACAGCCTCTCAGTGCTGTCATTTCATGCTACTTTGTATGAAAAATTTTGTTCTAAGGCACATGTGAATTTTCTCAGATGGTGCCAATGAGACAAGCAAGAAGTGCCTAACTTTTTTTCCTCCAGGGGTGTTGTGGATTGGCCAGCAGCTGTCCTTGCCCCACTTCCCTTTGCAATGGGCTGGGACAGTTTGTATCAGTGTCTTCCCTGGCTATCAAACCACACTATTCCTCACTTCAAGGAGAGTTCAGCCCAGACAGCATGGAGCCCTCCGTAACTCCCACTTCAGAAGATGCTGCTGCCTTTTTGCAGAAGGAAAGGCTGCCGGGGATAGAGCTCAGCGGCACAAGTGCCTGCCTGGCAAGCGCAAGGTTCTGAGTTCGATTCCCGGTACCTGCCCTCCCCCCACCTCTGCAAAAAAAGGGAAGAGGCACCCTGAGGTGACTAAGATCAGGGAGGGACCTGGGTCCCTTATTTGCATATCTGACATCAGTGCTCTTCCAACCTTGCTCACTGAAACAGGCCACCTACCAGCTGCTATATCAGCAGCACTCCCCAGCCACTCCTTAGGTGTTGGCCTACAGAGCTGACTCCTGGGTACCAGCCCTCTTGTGCTGCAGGACAGGACCTGTTAATATAGCCTCACTTTGGTGTGATGGCCTACAATACTGCTCATTTCTTATGTAGTGTGGGTTCCAAAAGTCATGTAAATCTACTTGGGATTTTTATCCTGAGCAGTATGGACAAAGCCATCGTTTCTAAAGGAAGAGCAATAAACACCCGGAGCTGTTAACCCCAGAGAGCTGCAGAGACCAGAAGCAGAGACCACCACGAGGTGGACTCAACCTAGTGTCCAGCACAAGCCAGCATCATATAGTGACGGCCAGCAGACGCAGTGACCAGCGGCTGGCTGTGTGAATTGTTGGCATTCAGCCTGACGTGGTATCATCTGGTGGCATCGAGACTGTCGGCAGAGCAGTCTTCAGCACTTTGCTGACTCATGATTTCCATGTGAATCGAGCAGGAGAACCCAGGATATACCAAGTTCCTTCAGTTTACAAGTCGTTCTTGGTAGCTGATAACCACAGAAATGTGCACAGGTAGAGTCACACCAAGACATGCATAAGGAACTAAGAATCTAGGGACTTTAACATGACTGTGAAGAGTAAGAATATGAGATGGCGGGGGGGTGCGGGGAGACTAGATTTTAGTTCATTTATCAGGGAGCCGCACCTTCTGGGCTATATGCTGGAGGTTACTGAAAAGGCGTGTACCGCCCAAGCATAAGCTGTGGTCAGAAGCCCACAGATGTCGCTATAAGCATTTGACTCACGGCAGCACTCATCACGGAAATGAATGTATCAAGGAAGTAACAGCATGTAAACACACAGGAACATTAAAAATGTGTGCCTGAGCTCTTCTTTAGTGAGGTATAGCAAAGTATGTGGCCTTTTGGAACTCACTATGTAGCCCAGGCAGACGTCAGTCCTCTGCTTCAGCTTCTTGAGTGCTGGGATTATAAACATGAACCACTATACCCAGCTTCAAATCAAAAAACAACAAAAAACTCTTAAAGGACGTATAAGGGGACTTAATATCACAGGACAGAAACTAGAGGGAAAAACAGCTATTTCCACCAAGTTATCCCCACCTCTGCCTGGCTACGAGGGCCTGACTAAGCCAGTTCCCACGATGTTGTCTCCTGCCACTCCTTTCACTAGATTCCGTGGACACACACAGCCATTTCCTACTGCAGCCTCGGCACTTATGTTTTACTCATGACGAAGTCTTCCTTATTCAGGTCATGAGAGGCTGACCCAGTTTAAACTGACTCTCTAGGCATACTCTACTCTATACCCTAACTTACTTTTTTAAGCAGGACTTAAGTACAAACTAGTATTTTTATTGCCTCTTCCCTAGTTCAGAGCCACTAAATAGGATATAGGACCTCATTTACCATTCTATCAGCAAAGCCTAAAATTTAGGAACCACACACATAATAATAAATGTTCAATACATACATATATGTGAAATTAATAAATGTGCGTATGGAAGGAATTACTTTTAAACCAAACACAGGTGACCTTGGAACAAAAACTGTAAATTCACAAATAATAAATTTTTGCAGGGGATATAGCACTCAACACAGAATTGAGATGAGTTATACCATTTTTCAGAAGGTTGTAGCTTCTAAGAATCTGGAAAAAAAAAAATGAACCAGGCAGAAATGCCAACTGAAAATGAAAATGTTTATATAAATTAACCCATCCAGTTTAAAGTAGATTTGCTATTCTCCACTTCAGTTTAAGAAGGAAGACTATAAACTTCCCATATTAATAAATCACATCAAATAAGTAGGAAGTTTCAATAACAAACTTTTAGATACACTGAAACCCCTTTATATATTAAAAGTTAAAATGAAAGACAAACCCAGATTGAACATAGTGATTGCAAAATATAATGCAATTTTGAACAATTAAAATTATGAAAATATACAAAATCGATGGGCAACACAACTAGGCATTTGTACATTTTCCATTTTGTGGAGAATACTGAAAGTTTCTCTACCTTTTATCTGCATCAGATAAACGACTTAACCAAATGTTTGCTTTGGAGAATCTTAACTTAGGATCTCAGTAGTATAAAAAGCAATAAGTTTTTCAGTCTGTAAACAGTAGTCGTGTTTTTTCTTTCCTTTTTTTTTTAAATATCAATTTACCACACAAAAACAAAACAGAACAAAAAACCATACAAACCAAAAACAGCAGCAGCAGCAACAGGTTATTTGGGAATTTTCTTCAAATATCAATGACATACAATTGCTGGGAGAGGGTGCTTTTTACTCATGTAAGAATATATATATATAGATATAATTTTTTAACTGTACACAATTTATAGTGCATGACAGATTCCAAAAGAATAGATTGATAAAAGATATTGGCCATTTCTGCATAATTTCATTCTTTTTACAATTATCTCAAATGTGAGTTGGATCTAACTGAATTGCTACATTTAATAGTAAA